TTGAATGGCCTGCTTAATTTGGGCTGAACGGGTCATATAAAAATTTTAAACCTCCGTTTATTTCACCGATTTAAACTTAAAATTTAAATTTTATTATATTTAAAAATTTTTAAAAATAATCATATTTAATTTTTTATTATAATAAAAAATTTTAACATAAAATTATATTTCAATACAAATTAAAAACTAAACAGGTACCAAGTTACCCTCAATTCAACATTTCAAACGTAAAGCAACTCCACAATTCTGACTTTTTTTTACTGGGTCCACAGGTCTGATTTGGTCGCACTCTTTTGAGTAACCAATGATGCTCCCTGTTTGTGTAATGAGTGGCCGTTACTATTTTTGGCCTTCAGTTATGAGTATTCTAAAAATTTTTAGTTGGCATTAGTTTAAAAAAAATTTAAAAAATAAAAATAAAAAATTGCTACCCGATTAAAAAAAGATACCTACAAAAAATTTTAATTATTATATAGATAATTTTTCTTAAAGTAAATTTTAAGGTTTTTTTATGCATCATCCCATTTTTTATTTTAAAAAATTGCTACCCAATTAAAAAAAAATGACTAAAAATAAAAATTATTATTTAGAAAACTTTCTTTAATAAACTAATGACTAAAAAAGGTTATATTATTATTTAGAAAACTTTCTTTAATAAACTTTTAGGTGTTGTATTATTTTTTATGCATTAGATTACTATTTTTTTCAATTCAAACTATAGTTTTCAGTCATCTAAACGTTAATTCGAATTATATTTCTTATTCGAATTAAAATTTCAAATACACAATTAGACATTAGTTCGGATTACTTTTTAAATCACACTGTTTAGATTTTTATGTTCAAATAAGAAAAGTTTAAATTACACAATTCAAACTAATGAATCAAACGAGCACTTATTGTTGGTGCTTCCATTTCCTCCGAGAAACAAGCTATGGGCATTGGGGCAAATTAATAGAGATTCTGCAGGTTTTATTATGGCAGGGCTTGTGGGGAAACTTGATGGTGTTTTCTTTGTTCATGAAGGTGAAGCTTAAGCTATCTCCATGAGTTTCCTATGGGCTTTAGATGTTAGTTTGAATCCTCAGTTCGTGTAATCTGATGCACTGATAATCATCCAAGTTACGGGACACTCTTCTTTCCTTTTCTTTTGTAACGAGTTTAGTTTATTATTGTTAGATGTATTTAGTTTATTATATTATTTTCTAAGAGTTAAGTTATGTTATGTGTACAGGAAAGCTAATAACGCTATCCACACTTTAGCTGCTTATACTCTTAATATAGATGATGAGCTAATTTAATTAGTGAAAACTCTAACTTTCATGAAATCTGTTATTATATCATACGTTTATTCTTATTAATAATAACAAAGTCTATTCTTAAAAAAAAAAAAAATTATTCTCATTGGTGTCTTTGAATTTTTGGGTTACTTTCAGTTTGTTTCTTGAACTTTAAAAACTCTTATTTTGCCTCATAAATTTTGAATTATTCTCACTTAGCTCCTATTTATTGTAATTTCTATTAAAATTAAACGAAAAAAGAGGAAGTTATGTTTGATCATGTGGTTTTTATTTTATTTATTTTTTAATAGAAATCTAAACAGAAAGATCACATGACTGCATATCCATTTTTAATAAAAATTACAATAAAAGAGAATAAATGAAAATAATTCAAAATTTATAAAATAAAATAAGAGTTTTTAAACTTTAAAAAATAAATTAAAAATTATCTTAAAATTTAAAAGTATTAGTGATAATAAATTTTTTTTTTTTAAAGTTCCTCACCTAAAATTCAGCATTATTAGAAAACAATACAAAAAGAAAAGGTACCTCCCGTGCAGGTAAGGGTGTAAATCGGCCGGGTAGGGTAGGGTTGAGTTGAAAAATTGAGCCTACCCGATCAGTGCGGGTTGAGAACATTTTAGGCCACGACACTCTCTTAAGTCTACAAATTCGCAACCTTTCAGGTGACCTCGGGTAGGGTCGGGTTACTCAGATTGGTGATCTCAAGGACCACACGATCACTTTTTAGTCAATTAATCTGTGCTTGTTACAGAAGAAATCATTATCAAACAGAACATGTCTTTCCTTCAAGAGGGGGTCTAAATGCAAAGTGAATAATTAAAACACTCACTTTGAAATCAAACACTTCCAATATAAATAAAAAATATCATAATTCAACAACTATGGCATACAAGTATTTTTTACACAAACCGTGAATCCAAAACATAAATAAGTTAACAGTTTAAATGCATAAAGTCCATAAACTTATGAAAATAAGAATTTGAAGTGTTGGACATTGTTTTACCTACTTTGAACATGTTCGGCCGGATAGGGTTACATCAGGTTCATGTAATCTCACCCCGAGTCTCTACCCACGTAATGCGAGTTAAGCATAATTAAAATTAAAAATTAAATAAAAAATTAAAAACTCGTAATTTTTTAGTAGGATCGGCTCGACTCGGCCGGATTCGTGGAGGCCCTACGTGCGGGTGGACGCTCAACTCAAGCCTCAAGTACTGCCGCGCTCTCTCAGAGCAATACAGGCGCGCCCTCTCTGTCTCTCTCTCTCCCTCCTCCGTTCTTCAAAAAAAAAAAAAAATCCCCCACTTCTCTTCTCTCTTCCGTTCTTAAAAAAAAAAAAAAAAAAAAAATTTCTCAATTCTCCGAAATTACCAAAATGCTCTCTCCGATCGACCACCGCCCCGACCATCCACCGATCTCCGATTCGGATGCCGACTCCGACGACGGCCGACCGGAATCCCAAAGAGCCCGGCACGCCGACCTCTCTGCGTCAATCTTCCGAGCCTACTTCGAGTTCTCCGGCCGATCGTCCTCCGCCACGACCCCCACCGACCTCTCGAAGATCCAGTCCTTCCTCACCTCTTCCTCCTCCGGCGCCCTCTCCTGCCTCATCTGCCTCGAACGCATCCGCCCCTCCGACCCCACCTGGTCCTGCACCTCCCTCTGCTTCGCCGTCTTCCACCTCCTCTGCATCCAGAGCTGGGCCCGCCAAGCCTCCGACTTGGCCGCCCTACGCGCGTCCACGCGCCTCCCCATCGATCCGGGCAAAGCCTCTGAGCTCTCTCTCTGGAACTGCCCCAAATGCAGGTCCGATTACTCCAAATCTCATATCCCTAAAACCTACCTCTGCTTCTGCGGCAAATTGGAGAATCCTCCCAGCGACGATCCCTGGATTCTCCCCCACTCTTGCGGCGAGGTCTGCGATCGTCCATTGAAGCACGGTTGCGGCCACCGCTGCTTGCTTCTGTGCCATCCCGGTCCCTGTCCTTCTTGCCCTAAGCTGGTGAAATCCCGCTGCTTCTGTGGATCCATCGAGGATGTTCGGAGGTGCGGGTTCAAGAACTTCTCTTGCAACAATGTCTGCTCCAAGCTGTTGGATTGCCGGGCCCATAGATGCTCGGAGATTTGCCACGAGGGGCCGTGCCCGCTGTGCCGAGTCCGGGGAATGTACCGGTGCCAATGCGGGAAGAGAGAGGAGGAAAAGGAATGCTGTGATCGGGTGAATTACCGGTGCAATAATCCGTGCGAGAAGATGCTCGGTTGCCGAAGGCATGTTTGCGAAAAGGGGTGTCATTCCGGGGAGTGCGGACCATGCCCGTTTCAGGGGAAGGGGAGTTGCCCGTGTGGGAAGAGAGTGTATGAAGGAATGGCTTGTGATGTAGATGTGCCTTTGTGTGGTGGGACTTGTGATAAGATGCTTAGTTGTGGCTTCCATAGATGCCCCGAAAGGTGCCATCGTGGTTCCTGCATTGAGACTTGCAGAATTGTGGTCACCAAGTCTTGCCGGTGTGGGAGCTTGAAGAAAGAGGTATGATTTTTCTTGACACTATTTCTAGTTTGGAGCAATGTTACTATTTTTAACTAATCACATCAGTCGTGGCAGGGCGCGGTTATAATTTTTCTTATTAAGTACGGACACAATTGAAATTATAGAGAAATTTTATGGTAAAAGTTCAAAACTTTGAAACTTAAGTGGCGTTATTGAATCACATGTTGACATGCCAACTATGAAATTATTGGCTATTGTGCAAAAACCCAAAAACGATCTTAGGTTAAGAGGGGTTGAAAAACATCATCACTTATGTTTAGCAAGTTTTCCTATATTATTTGATCAATTGTATGTGCTGTTTTCTTTTATGAGTTTAATTAGTAAAGGCCGTTGAATGTAGGGTAGATTCCTTGCTACCAAGATATTTCATGTGAAAGGAAATGTCAGAGATTGAGAGACTGTGGTCGCCATGCTTGCAGGCGCCGCTGCTGTGACGGGGACTGCCCACCATGCTCTGAGGTCTGTGTTCTTGTTTCAGTATTTTTAGTAAAGGTTTGTGAATTTTGGCTTTTTATTAATTTTTCAAGCTTTAGATTTGTGGCAGAAAGCTACGGTGTAAGAACCACAAATGTCCTTCTCCCTGCCATAGGTGAGTTATTTTTAGCTTGCTGTATGCGAGAGGCTTGGCCTATTGTAAAATTGGTAGTGTTAAAACTATAAAGAAAACGAGGATACTATCACTCTGTTAACTGTTTCTGCAACTTCATATAATTGGCATTCTAGTCACCCCCTTTTTTTTTTTTTTTGATACAACACAGGATTGAACTCTGAACCCCCCACCCAAACCCCCCAGTGCCACTAGACCATGAGGTCTTAGGCTAGTCCCGTTTTTTTACTTCTAAAATAAAAAAAATATCAAGCTCTGCTGCTCCTTTCTCTTCTTTTATTTGCGGGTTTTGAGTTATTTCCGCCTTCATAGATGAGAATAGTAGCTTCCTGATAGAGATTAATAATGTTGATCGTTACAAACTAAATAGGTGCGGGTATCTTTTATATATGTAACACAAAGCAGTTCTTTTTCTTGGATAAAAAACATCCATTGCTGAATAGAAGTAGCTAACATGAGCTAAATTTGGGAGACTTAAAGTCTCTATGCCATCTTGGATGCTATATTAAAAAACCTATTTCTAGTCACCGGTTTTGAGATATTTCTTTAAAATAGGTCAGCATTGGAGAAAAATATTTTTCAAAGCTTTCGCTAAAATTAATATATCTTTTTCTTGATAATCTACCAATTAATCATGTAGCCTGTGATATTTTGTTCTTGCAGAGGTCCTTGTGCTCCTTGCCCAGTCATGGTGACAATCTCCTGTGCATGTGGTGAGACACACTTCGAGGTGCGGATTTCATTATTTGACATTTTTTAGTCCCTTTATATAAACAAAATCAGTTTATTGTTATTGGCTCGCTAGGCGATAATGACACAACATGGTACTCTAGTGACTGCTGAAGAAATATTTACCTCGGGACCATGCTCAGTTCTTCCTTGGTTTATTGGGAATAACTGCTCTCGTTTTATGCTTTACACACGATCTTTTTAATCGTTCCTCTTAAACTTGCTACGTTAAATATCTTCTGATGAAGCCCATGTTAGGTTCCTTGTGGTACTGAGATGGATCAAAAGCCTCCCAGGTGTGCTAAACGATGCCCTATTATTCCGTTATGCAGGCATCGAACAAATCTTAAGGTACTGGTGGTCGGTTTTCTGCTGTTTCTTGCAGCAATCAGTGTATGTTATTAGGAGTATGAGACACACTCATCTTTATTTGAACATTAGTTGCTTTATGTTGATTTTCTGAAAGATTCCAGCCTTTTTTTTTCTTTTAAGAAGCTCAAAAAAGAAAATATCTAGTTCGTGGTATGTTTTGCTAATGACGATCTTACATAAATGTCCAGCCTCATAAATGTCATTACGGAGATTGTCCCCCATGCCGGCTGCTTTGTGACGAGGAATATTCATGTGGCCACAAGTGCAATCTATGGTCTGCAAATTTTTCATTACGTGGTTATTATCTTATGATTTTTTGAGGTATACAGTCATACATGCATTCTTTTCTTTCCAACCATTTCTTAATATCTTCTATTTTCAGGTGTCATGGGCCTAAGCCTCCTCCTAATCCGGAATTTACATTAAAGCCAAAGAAAAAGAAGTCTGTTCGTCAGATCGAAGGCACACCTGGTTCTCCATGCCCTCCTTGTCCCGAGCTCGTTTGGAGATCATGTATTGGCCAGCATATTGGAGCTGAAAAGATGGTATGTTTTTTCTTGGAATATATAAACCTTTCAGAATGTAGAGTTTATTTGTTTACTTGTCCTCTGTAAAGCAACTTTGTCACTTTAACGTGGTTTATTACCTTCTAAACTTAAGTTTCTTTTTTTTGCTCTTCTTGTTAGATGGTCTGCTCAAATAGAATGCAGTTTTCCTGTGAAAACTTGTGTGGGAATCTTCTACCTTGTAGCAATCATTATTGCACTAAAACTTGCCATGCCCTCAAGAGTCTGTCTTCAACATCAGTCCAGCAAGCAGGAAGTGAGCCTTGTGAAGACTGTAATCTTCCTTGTGAAAAGGTGTTAACGGGTCCTTGTTTTGACAATACTGGTTACTTTTTTGTGCCCTCTGTTTACCTTTACATTGTTTATGCTTGTCGGAGGTAATTGGGTTGACATATTTTTCTTGCCATACTTCTTTTTATTTGTTTGTAAACTTATTGATATGAATGCCTCTATTCAGGAGAGGGCGCCTGCATGTTCACATCCCTGTCCCCTAACTTGTCACCCTGGAGACTGCCCCCCCTGCAAGGTTCTTGTAAAACGATCATGTCACTGTGGTTCAATGGTCCATGTTTTTGAGTGCATATATTACAACAGCTTGTCTGAGAAGGAGCAAATGAATGTTCGTTCATGTGGTGGGCCATGCCACAGGTAGGCGAAATATATGTACTCTTGTTTTTGTTTAATGAGATTGAAAGAAGTAGCTTAGAAATGACACGTTATGTGCAGAAAATTGCCAAATTGTACGCATCTATGCCCTGAGACTTGTCACCCCGGACAATGCCCATCCCCTGAAAAGTGTTCCAAAAAGGTAATTATTTTGTTGCTTATATCAGTATTTTATGAGAAGAAGGTATAAAACTGTGTACTCAAGTATGTGAATGCCGCTTTTGGTTTGGTTCACCTAGTATTTTTTTATCTAATTTTCTTTCTTTTACTTTTCCGTTGCAAGGTTTCTGTTCGTTGTGGATGTCAGACCTTGAAAAAGGAGTGGTTATGTAATGATGTTCAAGCAGCCTATCGCAGTGCTGGTTCTGATCCCAAAGACATATCAAAAAATCAATATGGACTTGGTCTTATACCTTGCAATTCTGATTGCAAGAGTAAAATACAAGTTGTTGAATCAGAGTTACGGTTGCGTAAATCGAAAGTTTCAGAGGTAATGTCTCTATAATTAAACTAAAAAATTTCATATACTTGCAGCATATGTAATATGGCTAGCATTTAGCACGTAACTGTTTTAGTGAAAGTTTGTTTAGGGGCCCCTTGTTTTCTCCTTTCCTTGTATGTCCAACACAAGCTTCGATCATTAATTTATGGAACCAGTTATACAGTAAACTATTTTCCTGTATAAGCTATAAAAAGCAGATTGCTTTACTTGTCTTAAAAATAAACCTCATGCTTAATTTTCTAGTAATGTGGAAGTTAAACGTACCTAAATGCCCTCGAGCAACATTTTCAATGTGTTCTATTCTTCAAGGTAAAGGAACCAGAAACTGAGAAACATGGCCCAAAACGTAAAAGAAGGCGGGAACGAGTACAGGAAACCAAGCAAATCTCAAGACTGCAAGTAAGTTACTTTCTCTGGAAGGTGAGAATTCTGATTAGCCTCCTTATGTGCTTGCTAATGGTGATTGTTCGTTCATTCTGAACAGAGAGTAGCGGCCACAGTGAAGCGGCTTCTTCTAGCTGTCCTTCTTGCGGTGGCTGTGATTGCAGCACTGTATTATGGCTACAAGGGTCTCCTGTGGCTCTCCGATCGGATGAATGAAGTTGATGATCAAAGACAAAGAAGGTACCATAGAATCTAATCTTCTCAAACCCATGTTTGACATGGGTCTGCCAGGGTAGTCCTGCACGAGGCTTTGTGCAATATTATTTATCCTTGTAAGTTGTTATTACTTGTAAGCATATAAAAGACTAAATTATACGTTCTTTTTACTGGAGAGAAGAAAATTTTCCATCGGCAAATGGTAAGGAAATAAATAGAAATATTTTTGATGTGGTCTTATAATATATCGTTCGACTGGTGTACTACAATGCGCACTTGTTGTATTTGTTTTTTTATTCTATGATGATATTGGTCTTAATTATATATTGTTTGAGTTGTGTGCTAGAATGCGCACTAGTTGTAGTCTTCTTTTATTATTATTCTATGATGATATTAATCTATACATGAACGTAATTAACGTTAGCATGTGTGAGATCTTCCAAATGCTATTCAGATTCTCAAATCTCACATAGCAGTTTAGCCAAGTTTTCCTTTTCCGTTTTAAGTGTGATATTGGCAATTGGCATCACAGGAGGAAGTTGGGACCCAGCAAGCATAACGTGTGATTTTGTGTACTAATTTATAAGTAAAATGCTTAGTGGCACTACGTGTGCTAAGCACCTCTCACAAGTAGGACCCATCTTTTATTAGTGCATATCGTTCAGTTCCACGGGTGTCATATAGCATTGTTAGTATGAAATTGTTAAAAGTGTCCTCTACGTGCTTTTTTGCTCTTGTTCTTGTTCTCGTTTTTTGTTTGCTAAACTATTAACGTGTGTTTTGGTGGTAAAGACTGGAAAGCCTTGGTCAGTAACTCGTAGACTAGAATATTCTTAGCCCAAAAAAATATGACTGGGAACGATAAGTGCCGTCTATTAGTAAAGCTTAAATCCGATGGCGCCTTTACAAAGAGCGACTGACCCGGCATTTTATTTTATTTTATGACTTGCACGTGTCTTATTTTCTCCGACACCAAATTTTGAACTTTCTTTTCTTCTTGCAAGACTAACCTTATCTTGTAGTACAAGTCTTCTTTCACCCGCTTTCCCACTGTTATCACTTCTCATGCAATGTATGGTGAGCCCTAAGATTTTTAATGCTCTTTTAATTTTCTGCTTTTTATTTTTCTTAATAAATTAATTTCAATGAATTAATTAAGTTCGCCGTTGGTCTTCTTTGTACCATACTTTGAAAAATTAGACTAAATGAGACACGACGAGGGTGTCCGCAGCTTGGTAAAATTCATACTATTCCACAACGTGATGAGTTCTTATATCCGTTTAGTTCACTGATTTGAGTTTTTAATTTGAGTTGAGATGTGACTTTATGTGAGAGCTTCTTACTGTAATAAAAAAGTTAGACGTGATTGTTTCTGATAGCTTTTTACTGTAATAAAACTCAAATTCTAAACTCGAATCGATAAAATGAACGAGACTTACATTATTAATACGTACTCTTTATACTCTCAAAAGTAAATAAACAAATAAATAAATAAAACGTACCTTTTCATTTGATTAAGTTCAAATTTTGCAACTCGTCGGTCAACAACAAAAAAGTCCTACACAATCTTCTTATTTCAACAACTACTCCAACTCCCCTTTCTTTCTGTCTCTCTGTCTTTAGTGAGTTGCTCTCATTTATTTCTTAATTTGGTGTTCTGTTAGGGCTGTGATGCCGAGGATTTATGAATCAAGAATGATCATATTGCTAATAATAATAACCACAATAACATTGATGTAACATAGAATTTTCAATTTATATGTTCCTTCCCAATGGATTTTACCAAATTAAACATGGATAGCGACTTAAATAATGAGTTTAATGTACGAAAAGTATTATTTATGACCATTAGTGATAAAATCAGGACACACATGATAGCCCATCAAAATACTTAAAAACATTTTATAATCTATCACAACAGACGTAGTGATGCGTCACTCAAGTTAATTAAGAACAATATTTTTCAAGGTCCTAGCTCCTTTGCATTATTTGTATATTTGATATTTTCCTTTATGTAGGTTTTTATTGTGTTGATGGGTATTTTAGATAATCTTCTTGATGACAAGATGAGCTATAATTGACCTCAAGGAAGATTAGGTTAACCACATGGCTAACAGGGAAGATCATAGACGAGGTGAGCGGCATAGCCAACACAGAGAGGTTGGCCACCAAGCCAAGTCGAGAAGACGAGGTCGCCTAGCCAATTTAGTAGAGTGTTGGTAGCTTTACTAATGATGATGTCGACGCCTTTGATAAAAATAGCAGCTGGACATAAAGTCAGACACTTTGATCGGCTATATTCACGACGGCCTACTTTGTTCGAAAATATTTACCGCAGCTCGGCCTAGATGAAGTCGACCAAAACACCACAGCCTATATGGAAAATATGCTAAAATGAGGATGTCAATCTGCAAATCATGAAGACAAGGACGATTCAAAAAACGGAAATTAGAGATATTCTTCTCATTTAATTCAAATAATTCATATTTATCACTAGATGGCTATAAATAGAGGTCTACCCCTCACTGGGGGAGGAAGTCTAATTTTTGGCATTAGCCCTTGAGTGCTCTTCTAATTCTCTTGTTCATAGTAAAATTTGCCGAGAAACTCTAAGTGGTCGTAACTTTCAATTGAGATGAATCATTATAAACTTCGCGTTTTCTTTACTCTTCTTTATATTTTCTCATCAATATACGTTAACAACGAGTGTGAGCTAATACGTGGTGAGGTGATCGTTAAAGTTTTATTTATTTGACGAATTTTGACCATAATCATATTGTATTGAGTGAATCAAACCTCTTTCACTATAACGAAAAACGATAGAGCCAATTTTAAATAAAAAAAAAAACAAAAACACACTTGTTTTATCGATATGTTGCGTTTTACCATATATGTTCAATAATGGTGCATATATCCTCTACGATTTATAGATCATGTATTAATGTTAGCTCTAATATGGGAAGTTTTAACATGATTTGAATTTTGAAAAACATATGGCATAGTTTAAGTTTAACACATTTATAAAACATAAGGAGTAAATGTAAATATATAAGGAAAACATAACATTTTGATTATTATCAAATTTTAAATATAGTCTGATATGGATTTATTTCCAGCTCAAGATTTTGCGTTGAAATTTGAATATAGTCACCAGAAGTCACACTGGATTTCTGACATATAAAGTCTGAACCAAACATCTTCAATAAGTATGAAAACTGAAAAACGAAGGTGGAGGACACCGGCCACCGTTACTTTCATGGAAAACCCCATTTCTCTGCCCCCACAAAGATTTATTTCCACCAAATTCATACGGTATATTTATTGCTGCTACTACAATTTATACCCCCTAATTTATCTACACATTTATAAACGGAAACGCACCATTATTTTGAAACACAAAAAGACGTCACACGAAACGATTGATTTCTGAAGAAACAGGATCCTGACCCTACACGTGGCAAACTCTAGAAAGCAGTGGGCCTTATCCCCATTGACTGCTTTATTGAAAATTCAGAGTCAAACACAGCCCAACTTGGAAGGACCCAAAACTCAAAGCTCAATTGTCTAAAGTTCGGACCACCTTTTTAGCATTTTTTCCTTTTCTAACGGTGGACCATACTTGAGAAAAGGACTGACCAAAGTTCTAGTACGTGAGGAAGGGATAAAAGTACAGAAATAAAACTTGGCACGCTGGCTATTGACAAACCACACTGCACATGCATCGGCTGAGGGCCATGAGCCAGACTGTGTTCACACGCCAACGCAATCATTCTCTCACTCATTTGATTATCTTATTGGCTCTCAAATGCTCAAGAAATGCATTTCTTCTGGTAATCAAAGAAGTGAGGAATAAAAGTGATCAAATGGTATCATCTTATCACTAATGAGTTGGTGTAGTTATAAAAATGCCTTGTTTCAATGTTCCCCGTCAAATGAACTTTGTCGCGTTGGACTCATAATAATTTGTGTAATAGTGGCCTCATAAGTAAATTGGATTAAATCATGTTCATTCTATTTTATCAGTCGACCACAAATTTCTTCTACGATTATGGAGAAATGACACCAATCGTCCTCTTTTTAAATTAAACAAAAATATATATATATATATATATATATATCATGTGCTTTGTAGTTGAATGATGAACAAACTAGTCGTATATAATACAACATGCAATACCCGTCGACCAAGTCATAGGCGTACAGATTTGAAGATTGAGGTGTATCAATACATACGTGTCACTTGCACAAACAAATGTAGAGTACAATAATAATGGAGGAGAATAATGAATAAGAGTGTTTAATCAATTTCATGATGGCTCTGACAAATAAAAAGGGCAAGGCCTAAAAAGAGCCCCAAACTTGAAAATCAATCATTGTAAAATGTAATCATTCTCTCAGTTAGCAGTTTCACGAAAATTCTACATCAAAAAGTCAGATGAAAGCCCCCTAAACTTTACATTGGAAAAAGAAGTATACCCACAAGAATCAAAAGGCTAAAAAATCACTTTTTTTTTTGTTTTTTTGTTTTTTCAATTATCCCTACTCTGAAACAATGGAGATTACACCACTAGAGATGCTTCCATGACTGTCATCACAAAGACTCAAAGCTCTCTCCAAATTAGCCACAATGTCAGTCATGGTTGGCCTCTCTTTCCCTTCCAAATTCACACAATGCATAGCCGTATACGCCACCAACTCCACAGCCTCACCTTCATTCAACTCCGGCGGGCCAACCCTTTGGTCCAAAACCTTCGCCAATTCTCCGGCCATTATTGCCGGCACCGCGAAGTCCACCACGCTGATCGGCGTCCCCCCGTCTTCCCCATTCTTGAAAATCGCCCTCTTCCCCGTCAACAGCTCCAACAACACCACCCCGAGCCCGTAAACATCGCTCTTCGCTGTCAACACATTTAGTCCATAGTACTCAGGATCAATGTATCCAACCGTCCCGGCGGCTTTCGTCGGCCGGTAATCACGACCGGACTCAGGCCCCATTAAGGACAGCCCGAAATCGGACACTTTTGCAGTCCAATTCGCATCTAACAAAATGTTGGAGGACTTAATATCTCTATGAATTATAGGAGGAACTGCATAATTGTGAAGATATTCAATCCCTCTCGCAGCATCTAACGCGATTTTGATCCTAATTTTCCACGAATTCAAGACACTGCTTCGCTTTTCCACATTGTTCTTGTCGTGCAAATGATCATACAAAGCTCCATTCTTCATGTACTCATAAACCAAAAGCCGTTCTTCCTTTTCCTCACAGAATCCCACAAGCCTCACCAAGTGCTTGTGGTGAAGCCGCGACAAGAACGACAATTCCGATTCAAATGCGCTTTCTTTCTCTTGGTACTTCCTCGCCAGTTGCGCCGTTTCGCTTCTCTTGATCGCCACTTCCCGGCCGTCGGTCAATTTTCCCCGGTAAACGACCCCGAAGCTCCCCGCCCCGAGCTTGTTCTCCGGCGAGAAATTGATCGTCGCGGCTGCGAGCTCCGCGAACGAAAACTCCTCCGCTCTGTCAGCGTGTTTCGACGACGTCCCGCTCCTCTGCCGCCGCATAATTCTCGACCCCTGGCGCCGAATCGTCGACGACCGCGACGGTGGACTATTATTCGACGTCCCTCCTCCTCCACCGTTGGAGCTTGCCTCTCTTGTGATCGTCGGCTGGACCGAATTGTGAATCTTCTTGTGGCCGAAGCAGACTCCGGTCCACAAGCAGTAAACCACGGTACAAATGCCGGCGAATGCGCCGACCGATCCGACAATGGCGAACGCCAAAAGGCCTCTCGTCAAAGCCCCCGACGGCGACGATGACGATGGCGGAGAAATTGACGGTGATGGTGGTAAAGGCTGTTGTGGGGTTGGCGGTGGTGATGAAATTTGAGGCAAACAAGGCTTGCAAATATTCCCTTTACCAGAACAGAGCTTTTGAGATAAAGGGTAAGTAGAACAATTACAAGTGGACGAAACACAAGGCCCGGGAAGAATTTCTGGTAATGGCACAACAGAAAAAGAAGAAGAAGAAGAAGAATTATTGGTTATATTAGACCAACCTGGTCCCCAACAAACGACAGAGAAATTCGCAGTTGTTAAACCACAAGTGAAATCCAAGCTCGAAACAATCAGCTCAAACGAAACCCCATTTGTGTCGTTCACGGAAAATCTCCCTCCTCCTCCCCAACAAACGACAGTGTTATTCGAAGCCCTGATTGCGCAGCTATGATTAGCTCCAAGAGAAAGCTGAGAATACTCGAAAGCTTCCGATCCAATCGGAGTATTCAACTGACCGGAATCGTTGTTCCCTTCGCAGACCAAAAACCCGGTGGTATTGACCCCGCAGACGTGAGAACCTCCGGCGAAAATGCTCGTCATGGACATGTTACCAAACCTATTTTCAATCCGGCTCGGGGACGACCCGCTTCCCCAGCATCGAACCCGCGAGTTTTCCTTCAAAATCCCGCAGGAAAACCCCGACCCGGATGAAATCGAAGCGAACCGGTCCGACCCAGATGGGAGACGGAAGGAATGGTCGTATCTCCAGCATTTCACCGTGCCGTTACTCGCCACCGTCGCGCAGATATGGTGGTCTCCGACGGCGAGATTTTCCAATACAACAGTGGTGTTGAAGTAGACCCTCCGGGACTCCGTTACGGCGGTGGCGTTCTCCGACAGGAGGTTGCCCCAGCAAAAGAGGCTATCGCCGCCGGTTCTGAGGCCGCAGAGGGTGGTCCGGCCGCCGGATATGGAGGAGTACGAGACGTTGGGGAGAACGTCGACGTTTTGGGAGCGGCGGTGGCAGACGATGCTCTGCGTGGGCCTGCTGGCAACGACTCCGCAGACGGCGCCGGAGTGGGTGACGGCAAGGGTGGCGCCGGAACCGAGGGCATCGGCGATGGAGAAGACAACGGAGATGACGGCGACGGCGAGAGAGACGGCGACGGAGGGTGAGGGCAGTTTCGTCATCTAAAGGAGATGGGGTAGTCTCGTCTGCTTCATTGGAAGATAGAGAGAGAAAGAGAGGAGAGAGAGAGAGTTGAGGAGTTTAGAGAAGCTAGAGAAAGAATGTGAGATCTTTGAGGGGATATAAGTTGTTGACGAGTTTCTTGGTTGTTTCAGTTTCAGACTTACAGAAAAACTGATATTATTAAAAATTATGAAAATGCCTGGGCCGTGTTTGTGGCATTTATATTACATGAACGTTTATTTCATAGATTAAAATCATATTATTAAAATTATTTTTAATTTATGTGTATTTTTTTAGAGAAAATACTGTAGCGAACCACGAATCATGATTCGAATTAAGGAATGAATCCTCCGACCAAACAACTCTTTATTTATTTGTTTATTGTGTTTTTAGATATTTTCAGGGACTATCGATCAAAATAACATATTTTTTTTTTCTTTTGAAAAAAACAGAAAGTAATTTCATTCTATATTAGGTATGCTTAGATATTTAAGTTTAAAAAGAAGGTATGCTTAGATATGTAAAATTTGAGGAAAAAACAACTATATTATTGTAGATTAAGTGGGATTGTCCATATAATTTTTAGAAATAAAAAATTTGAGTAAGCCGTTTTTCTTTTTTCTTTTAAAATGGACTTAGCAAACAGTTTGATTTTAGGTTATAATAATTTATGGTAACTTAGGGAAATTATAATAACAATTTACTCGTATAAGTGGTGTAACCATTATTTAATTAGTAGAATTGTTATATATGTGTATATATTTGAAACTCAAACCGGAATTTATTTATATGGCCGAATCAAAAGACTTAACCATAATATCCGAAATACATGGCAAACCTCCTCTATCCAAAATTGATCACAACGAATGTGAAATATGACTGCAAATACCACCACATGCTCTAATAGTTAACACAGAAATATCTGTTACTTATGAACCTACTGTAGCTAACTCTATTAACTGCCTTAATGGAACTGTTATGTATATAAATATATATGTATCCTACAATAAAACTGTTATCTTTGTTACACCATTATGTCAAACATCTTGATTTTTTAATAATTTTTTTTGGCTCAAAAAAAAAAAAAAAAAAAAAAAAAATTTCCGCCCATTTCAAAATCATGAATAAATCACAATAATCCTTTCAAAAAGAAATGAAAGATATAATATGTGAAAAAATTAAGTATATCTATCACACATGAATTATGATTGCAAAAAAAAAAAAAAAAGGGTTTGATTCCCCCTTTTTTTCGTTATATTTTTTTAGAGAACCATATTTCTTAGTTTTAGATATACAAAAATTCTAATTTGATTATTCCCAAAAGTTTTATCTATTAAAAAACATCATGTTCTTGCAAAAAGATATATATATATATATCTTTTTGCAAGAACATGATGTTTTTTAATAGATAAAACTTTTGGGAATAATCAAATTAGAATTTTTGTATATCTAAAACTAAGAAATATGGTTCTCTAAAAAAATATAACGAAAAAAAGGGGGAATCAAACCCTTTCATTTTTTTTTTTTTTTGGCCAAAAAAAAAAAAAAATGAAAGTGTTTGATTCCCCATTTTTTTCGTTATATTTTTTTAGGGAACCATATTTCTTAGTTTTAGATATACAAAAATTCTAATTTGATTATTCCCAAAAGTTTTATCTATTAAAAAACATCATGTTCTTGAAAAAAGATATATATATATATATGTGAGGGTTATAAGTTAACAAGTTATAACCTAGTCAAATTTTTAGGTTAAAAAAAACTCCTTCCATTTATTTCTTGTAATTAATTTTATTTCTAGTGCCACTATAGGTACCTCAATGGCTAGGATCTTTTCTTCTACATCAGTCTCTACCAACGATTTATTTCCTGCTGGGAAGAAAAAATCTCACTATTTCCTTTCATTTCTAGTGAAAAAACGGATAGTTATGTATAACAAGGTGTAAATTACGATTATCAGAAGCAAAAAAAAATAATAAAAAAAAAGGTTTAAGTTCACATTCAAAGAAAAACCAGTTTACTTGGATCCAAACAGAAACCATGCATTGCCACGTGTGAAAGAAAAATGTTTCGCGTTTCACGCTCCTCAGAGTAACGAAGCACGTGCGTACATTATAGTATTCACAACACACGTAGGCAAGAATTTATGAAAGACAGCTAGCCTTTTTTGACCCAAAAGGCTGCCAAATATTATTTTTCTTTTTTTTTTTTTTTTTGAGAAAGGAAATTAATTTTTCATTTTTGATTAAAAAAATAATATTTTCCTAAAAATATTAATTAAGAAAACCATACTTGACCAATTTTATGGGTTATTCAAGAGGGAAAATAAAAAAATAAAAAACTCCCCAAAAAAGAAGCTAGTCTATGGAAGAATGCGACTTTATGTATGTATTAATTTATAAGAGAAGAAAAGGAAAATTAATTCCCAAAACGAGTCAAATACCATGAATTAGAAAGTGGGAGAAAATGAAAGTGAAAGGAAAAAAGAGGTGTTTTCGTAATTAGAATGTTTCCTTATGATAGCTCTCTCTCTAGTAAAGACTATGGTCAAACGCGTCTAACACAATAAGGGCAAATCTCCCCCCAAAATTCCATATGAAGAATAAATTGGCTAATATTTCTTTTCTGTAAAATCGATTTTTGTTTTTATTAATAAAGACAATATTATTTCATTAAATTGAAACAAAACTATCAAACTATTGTTTACATAAAAGTACATGGAGCATTTCTTTGTGCACTATTTTTAATTGCAAATGTGCATAATTCTGCAGAGTAGATAAAATCAAACTCCACAAGAATTAAATCTTCGGCTCTTTTTATAGAAATTTGTTTTATAGAATTTTGTTATTGATATGATAATTATCATGTAGTCGACCGCAATTTTTGCCCGTCCAAAAATTTTTAAATCTATACTCAGAAGGACCATAAAAATCTAATTGAACGATAAACCTAAACATATTGCCACATGTTTATAACCAAATCAAGATCTAAGTGGATTAAACTTATCACGCTATAGAATAAAATCTAATTAGACACATATCTTTATTCATTATAACAATATTAAAACCATAAAATAAAATAAAAAAATAAACAAATCCTACTTTATCTAAAAAATTTCTTATATAGTGTGAAAAGTTGTCGAAATTTAAGACGAAGATGAGAAGAGAAGAGGAATAAATGAATGAGAGAATTGTATGCTTGTCATTTAATAATTAAATTTTCCACAATATATATAATAACCTTCTACCACAAAGAGGTATTCTCTTCTTCTTCTTTTTTTTTTTCAACTTTTTCCTTTCCACTTTCCTTCTCTATTTATCAAAAAAGATTAGGTGCTTTAGATATGGTCTTAATCCTCTTATGTTACAAAATATAGGTTGGTTTTTTGTATGCTTTAAGCCTAATGACAGGGAAAAATTCGACCTTTGTTTTCCTTATTTTTTTCGAAAAAGCTTCTTTTCCTGAAATATTTATTCAGCCTTTCATTGTTAGTAACGAGATCAAACATCACATAAAAGACTCCTTTATACTTGTCGCAAACCCTTGTTTTTTGTTGAGAAAGAAAATTAACTTATTCTTTATGCATTTGAAAATCTCAGCCTTTCTATTGTTACTGTTAGTAGTAATAGTATTTTTTTTTTTTAAAGTAATAGTAATAGTAATTAAAGAAAACATATATCATTTGAAAGGAGAGAGAAAAAAAAAACGCGCACACACACACAATACTAACAAGCATCTTTTCGTAATTTGAACAAGATCATGACACCTTGTTCTCCGCGTACGAAGTAATAGATTTGACCATATATTATAGCGCATGTATATTTAAACGTTGTTTTATTCACACATAATTAAGGCTATGGCCAATCCACAACCTGCATACTTCACCCAACGCAAGGAATGAGTAATGGATCCGCAAATTTTGAAAACTTTTCAATATTACAACAACCCAAAAAATAATAAAAAATAATAAAAAAAAAAGAAAGGAAAAAGGGCAAAGGAAAGGAAAGGAAAATATTTTCTGCAGTAAATTTTGGTTTATTGACCAGACTCAAGGTATGTCAGTCATAATCATATGATAATGAGGACTTAACAATAAAGACCCATGTAGCCCTCTATATAGATACCAAAGTAAATATATGAATTCAGATTTCTATTCATACACAGAGAGATTTTTTAGTACGCTTGTTTAGATTTTTTTTTTAATTGTTAGATTTGTGTATTTTTTTATTTTTATGTTATTTTTTTATAAATTAAACGGATATAAAACATAACCTACTGATGTATTGACATATCAAATAATGTCTCTTTATATATTTATATATATATAATATTTACTATTGGTGTAGGAATCGTATGATAAAACTCATTTTTTTTTGTTTACTATAATCCTTGTCTTAGGTAGTCTAATTACAGGTGTCATTTAATTGCAATTATAATACTGGGGTCTCTATTATTATATAACATCATTCGAGGGAAATTAAAAATAAATAAACATGAACAAGACTTGTTTATTAGTCTTATTTCCTGCATAATAAAAATTAAAAAGATCCCACAAACAGCTAAAAAGAAGTGTGAACATGAAAAATCTGATAATACAAAACAGCTCAGTAGGTTTACTTGTACCATTTTTATATATAACGAGGCAGACACAAATAATATACATATATCGTGTGTACATGTATAAAAAAATAAAAATAAAATAAAAAACAAACAAACAAAAGAATATAAATGATAAAGGGCTCGTCCCAACTTAATAATCAGTTGAAAAAAGAGACTGCATACTTGCCCAACACAGAGTATATTAAAGGCATAGACCAGCCAAAATAAAGAAATATAAACCAATAAGTGATAAGTTCTAATCCAAAGCTTGTTGTTGTAATCATAACTGTTGTGCAATGTCAGAACAATGGCTATACATGGCACATATAATTGTGTTTTTCGGTGAATAAGATATTGGATTTTCATATAGGACTATTGAAGAGGAGTCATACATACACAATCTAATGGTATCCCTTACATACAGATATAATTATTTCTTAGGATAATAATTTTCCCAGATGTGTGATTGCGCTTTCTTCAAGGTGGAAATTATGATGATCGTTTCTTCTGGTTGACCTGTATCAATGACACCTCATATATATATATATATATATGTGTGTGTGTGTGTGTGTATGTATGTATGTATGTATGTATCTGTGTGTGTGTATATACGGCTTTACTGTTTTCAGTGTTCCTTATACACACATTTTGTTTACTCATGAAATTTGACTTGACCATTGAATATTTTAAAATAACTTCTTTTACACTCTTGCACAAGTAGTTGATCATCTGAATGTTTTATTGTACTAGCAAAGTACAAAATGTAAGCCATAATTGGAATGTTTGTTTGTTATTTTGTTGAACTGTGTATTGAAGACAAATAGTACAAAAGTTTTGCCTTTTATTTAGATTAATCCTGTAGTTTTTTTCTATATTGCTTTATTGATATATCAAATTGAAAGGTAGAAACTGAAGAAAATTCAGCTGGTATCGAATTGCTATAAGGATGAGAAAAGTTGCTGAAAGACTGGAAAGTTTCAAGGCAAGACAATCATGTTTGCTTGAGATTCAGCTTGTCTGATTTTGTCAACTGATACACAACACTAAAAATGTGCCAACTCTAAAATAAGGGAATAGAATTTTCAAAAGGAAAAACTTTGAAAAAGTGATGGAGATAAAAAAATGACTGACATTATCAAGAACATCCATGAATAAAAAAAGGCTCAAAGGGCCATTCTTGACAAAGAAAAGTTTTTAAGCTGCCATTTCAGCTATTGCCTTTTTGTTATGTATGCAAAGCTGTAAAAAGACTAGATGATGGCCAGAATTCTAACATATTGTCGGTTTGCTTTTGGTAAAGCTAAAGAAGACTCAGATTTATCACATCATTTATTACTTAAAGACAGCTTTTCACGGCCATGGAGAATTTCCTAGTTGTGTCTCATTAACCAGAAACCGCCAGACAATTTCCTGGGCAAGAAAAAAGCTGGGCACAAGCTTAAGTATGAAAATTTGGTGGAAGATTTAGCTCAACTGAGTTGTAACTATTTAACAGGCTTGAATATGACTTTTCATGGTCCAAGCAAGTGTAAAACACAAAGTTTGGTTAAAACTCTATTGGAATAAGGACTATCTCCAAATGATAAATTAGGTCCTTCACCTCTCTAAATAGCACCCATATTCATTATCATCGGGTTAAAATTCCGCTACTCACACGAGGTGAGTCCCGTTAGGTGGGTATGTGAGACCCACCGTTTTATGAGTAATGAGTAATGGGGTTTTATCCCCATGTGGATCAATACCATTTTTGTCCCCAAAAATGATGCCCATCCTAAGATTTGCCCCTCCCAACAGAGGTAAAAACCATCTATCTTGCTTGTATTCCTAGCTATGTTATATATGAAGTTCACATTCTGATTCTTTAGGAAGTTACGCTTTAATTATTGTAATCAGAAAAAACGTTGAAAAGGAGCTATAGAAAAAAAAAAAAACATCGAACCAAATTAAACCGAAGGTGTTCGTTCGCGAGCCCATGCTAACGTTTCAATCAAGGGAGAAATAGAAAAATAGGCTAAGACTTTAGATGAATTAAAATTAATAGGCTAATAGTTTACATAAGTTAATAAATATACCAAATTACTGTTTTCGTCCATAACTTGACAAGTTATTCTCGGTTTTTGTCCATAACTTATCTGGCTATGAACCATAACTTGACAAGTTTGTCCATAACTTATCTGGTTATGAACCATAACTTAATAAGTTATGACCTATTAATTTCTATAACTAAAAGTTGACTTATATACTTTATTAAGCTTTTCATATTGACTTATTTCTTACTATTTCCCTTCAATCAATTCCTTTCAACATCCATACCAGGAAACTAACAATGTTGGAATATGAAATTTTTTCCTGCATTGTTTTCCCCTTTTTCACTTTCAAATTGAAGCACCGTAAAGAGGGAAAAAAATGGCCAGACTAGGCGTGATTAGTAAATTTAAATCGCCAGAGTAGAGAGAAGTAAAAGTAATAACCGAGGGATAGATCAAACGAAGAAGATGCTAGTTAATTTAATTTTAAGCATGTTAACTTAGACATGGCACACTCATGCCAGTCAGTACAACACTAAATTTTATTCAATCTGTATCCGAAATTTTGTGATCCAGAAAAAAAATAAATAAATAAAAATTGTGCTAGGAGTTACTTCAGCGGCAAATACTAGTTAGCTATTGCAAAAAGATAAATGGGTGAAATTAAGGAACAGAATGGGGACGTAAACTGCCAATAATTATTACGAACAATTTTACAAACTTTCAACAAAATATAAAAACTAAGAGAACTGCAAGCCTATAAACAATGTTACACAAGAATCAGAGTTCTGAACAAATGTACATAGATAAATGGTACCCCTATATAATCATGTGATGCAGCGGCTACGCCTTTGACAAAGGCGGGCTTTCATCGACATCTCCTGAGTACAAGTTGATGCTGTACATTAATTGAGTCCAATAATGAGATGCCGCTTTGAACAGAATAAATGTTTAAACGATTGCAGAAAAGAATCGAACGTTCATTCATATTATCCGTCCGCCAACGTCCAACATTGTGGAGGTATTCCTTGCTTTTGAAACCATTCAGGCATGTGGAACCTTTCATGGAGCATAGGTCTCACATCTTTTTGCAGAGAGAGATCCTTGAGGAGCGGAAGAAGGACATCCAAAAGCTGATCATCGAAAACAAGATAAAATCAGAACTCTGAAACTTTTGGAAATTTGCAAGAGGCTTTCAATAATTAACACACCTGTGTGTCATGGGGTTGCCCGGCAGAAAATGGAATGCATGGGATTCCATTCACTGGTTGCAACAAGAAGCTGAAGGGATTGTTGTCAACAATAACACTACGGCACATATCCTTCGATATGCAGGAAAGATCCTTAACATGCTCGCGAAACTCCCTGTATAACCCAGCATTAAAAGTTATTTACAGAGCCAAACAATGATTCTTCTCTAATTTGAAACAATTAGCCAAAATATGTGAAACATTAAATTTGTCTTGCAATCTGAACAGGATTTGAAAGAATTTAAATGACATCTTCAATACAATTTACTGTAAGGCAATCAGCATACAAAATAGCATATGAAGTATTGGGAGCAGAAACAAACAAATTCAGTTTGAAAAACCTTTAAACTTCAACAGTCAATAGCTATTCCACCAGACACCATTTCAATATGATACAAAAGATCGACCAAAACACAAAGGCAGTTAAAAAGGGTTCAATCGATCGTGAGTGCCAGAGAATTAGAAGAAAACATCAAAACCTGCTTTCCAGTTGTAGCTTGCATAGGATCAACATGTGCAGCAAAGATGCATTATAACAATTTAACAAAAACAATCCAAGTTTCAGCATCTCTAAAAAGCATGGAGTGTATGTGAAAAGTTACTTACGTGCTAATTGTTGAAGGCCGATAAAGTCGAAGACTGAATAGATTTCCTTCATCTATACGATCGACAAGTGGTCTGGCATAACCTGTGTTCATGTCCAAAACATTAGAATCAAGAAAAGGGAAACCCCAACTACGTCCTAAACACCAAATAAACGAAAATCCAAGCTACGAAGTTGAAAGAGTCAAGCAAACCTTCAAGACCAGCAGTAAACAGAACAAGATCAGCAAATTCACTGAGTTGTTTCAAGAATTCATGCAATCCCGGACGCTCAAAAACCGTAACATGATTGATCTTAGGCCTTCCTTCAAATTCCTTCAAAACGCCAAAGACGCCCAAGTAAGCATCCTTTTGTAATTTAGAACTAAAACACTAGAAAAGTACCTTATCAGAAGATACGCATTCCAGCTCAAACCACTTCAAGCCAGCTTCCGTAGCTTGGTTTCGAACACCAGGAGGCAAACTAGACGTCTCATAAGCACATACTAGAGTCTCGTCCAAGTCAAGAACAACCTGAAAAGCTCTCATTTCTCAGCAGAAACATCTAAGAACCTAATAAAAATCCTCCACATCTTACTCTTTTTCTACTTCTAATTTTTCATCAAATTCTTACTTCCGATAAACTAATTGCACTTCCCTACTTCTAAATTTTCATCAAATCCTTACTTCCGATTAACTAATTCACTTCCAAAGTGATGAATTTAGATTAAGGAAAAAGGAAAGAAGCAAAAGAAACTTGCATAGAAAAGAAATCCAAAAATAGAAAGATTCAAAATTCAAACTTTTCTGTAAAAGCAAAATCAGATTCGTAACAAGTTACATACTTTCTCAACTCAATTAACGGTAATACATAAGAATTAAAATCAAAATTGAAAACTCTAACCGCGTAAAAGTAATCAAGTACCGTGAGTTTCTTCTCCTCGGAGACATCGTCGGAGTCGGAGTCGTGGAGGGCGGCAATATGGACGGCGGAATCGGCCGGAAGATCGTGCTCCGGCAATTCGATATTCGGCAAGGGCTTGAAGGATGGAGAAGACGAAGATGAAGAGGAAGACAAGAGAGGAAGGTGACCTAGAGCTCTGAGGATCTGAAGAAAGATCTGGAAGAAGAAGCCGAGCCAGTTCAGGAGAGCTCTCCAAACTTGCAGAGTCCTCGGCGAGTAAACGACGTCGCCGCCTTGAGTCAGCTCAGCGGCCATTATCGGCGGATACGGCTGATGATGACGTCTACGGTGCGCAAGATGTTAACGTGTGCTCTCTATCTCTCTCTCTCTCTCTCTCTCTCTCTCTGTGGTTAAATGGATAGATAGATTTATCGAAAGCCAAACAAACACTCTCTCTCTTGTTTTCTCGGCGATGGCGCTTCGACGAAGTCTAGAGAGAGAGAGAAAGAGATAGAGAGGAAAGAGATGGACAGGAAGGAGTTCTACGCGCTGTGAATGGCGAGTGTGGGGGTTTTGTGAGGCGTGGAGGTTGGGAGAGTTAGTACGTGGAGTTCACGAGCAGAGGAAGCGCGTGGATCGTGAAGAATAGGGCGGAGAAAAGTAAGAGAGGAAAAAGAAATAAGGGGATAATTGGGAAAGTGAATCCGAATGGGCCAATCAGAAGAGACAATCTTTGGCTCTGTAAAAGAAAGACCAACGTTGTTGTCCTTTATTGGCTATTTTCCCTTTTATATTCACTTGTGACTGATGATTAAAAGGCGAAGAAATGCTTATACAGTGAAATTCATTTGATTAGCAAAAAACTTAAAAATTCATTTATTAATTTAGAACATAGGGTAAAAAAAAAATAAAGGATGGTGAGATACCAGGAAAAAAAATATTTGTATTAATATTGCATCAAAGTTTCCATTTCAAAAAAAAAAATTAACCATCAAAGTTTTAAGTGAAAAATACAAGCATTAACTCAATTTATAGACGCATAAATCTTAATAATAACCAAATCAAACTCAAATAAATTTTAAATAATTTCTATTTTAAAGAAATCCTAATCGATAAATGTGAAATAAAATAATTATAAAATAACTCTAACTCTTAAACGAATAAGTCTCCATAAAAAACGTACTAGCATCTTTAATAAGAATAACAAAATTCTCTCTCTCGTGTAATTAATTTATATATGTAATTTGTACATTATTTTTAGAAAATTAAATTACTCATATATTTTTTATTAGTCAATGTCTCCTTTTGGTGATAAATTTAGTCAAAATAGTTATGAAGAAAATTTTATTATCATTCATTATAACAGAACAATTCTCTTAGAGAAAAGCATGAAGGTAGCAACTTTAGTCTTTCATTTTTCTGATTTATTAGAGCAATAAAATTAGTGTCTAAAGATATCAATTTTTGCTTAATGATAGAAAAAGTGGTTACCATTCAGAATAAACATATTGTTTCTGTTATGCAAAGCAAAAATATCTAGTCTCATAGTTATTTTGACAAACATCTTGTTTTTCACTTGATTTGAATAACATAAGAGTACCTTTCACCAAAAAAAAAAAAAAAAAAAAAACAAAGAGTAATTTATGTATTTTTTAAGTACATCGTTAAAACATAAAGTTTATTCTATTATTTCCACTAAGCACACATTAAGTTCTCTTTCTTATTCTTTTATTTAGATATTTAAAAATAATCAACTTTTATTTTTCCAAAAATCTTAACTTTTGCATAATTCTGCAAAAATTGGTTGGTTTAAAGATTAGACATGCCTTTGGTGTGTGTGTGTGTGTGTGTATATATATATTAGACATACCTTTTCTATGTCGTGCAAAAATACCTTATCTCATAATTATTTAGACCAAATCTAACAAAAGTGGTTTTACGTTATTAGAAAACACGGTAATAATCTCTATATTATAAAGCATAAATAATTCTAACATTTGAATTGATACAGAAGTAGTTTTTGTCATTATACTTTTATTTTTGAAACTTTTAGCTTTCATTTTTGTTATTCGAAAGGTAACATATTCTAAAGTCAAACCATCATTGTTATTTGCTCCTTTCCTTGTACATCCACGTAACTTATTGACTTTTCAAAGGGGCAAAAAGGTATTTTAATTCTATCTTAACTTTGATTAGCAAAAAAAAAAAAAAAAAAAAAAAAATCCAAAAATTTCCTTTAAAAAAATTGTATCTATAAATTTATTAAACAATTTCCTCTCATTCTCTCTTAAGAAATAATAAAAAACAAAGGAGCGACATTGATGCTGAATGTTGCATAGTGAGCAGCAAGATTCAAAGTACCTACCTACTACCTACTCGTTTAGCCAAATAAAACAAAAGCACCTTCTATAACCACCCCATTCTAAATTGGCACTCGGCCCGAATCTTATCATGGAAAATTCATTATCTTCTCATTAGGTATTAATCACTTGATTGGTGGGTCGTAATTAGGACCATGTACAAATAAATACTCAGGCAAAACTGTACTGAAGGCATGTTTTGTACACCCCAAAAAAAAAAAAAAAAAAAACCCAAAAATTGAAAGTGGAAGTATTTACTAGGCCCAGGCTCATTATTTGAAGAAGATATTCAGAAAGAATGGAAGGGGTAAATATGGGAAAGCCAGGGGTGTTGTAGTGCCTCTTTGGCCGTTGGACGCTTTTGGGGATTGATTTGGAGCAAGTTTTTGACAAAGTCGATGAACCCAACATCGCTAACTCCGAGACGATGCTCCAAGGAGGATTCCTCGGGAATTATGTATTCCATTTGTTCTGTCTCCTGGATAATAATAACATAGTAAACAAACCATATGTGAGTTCTATAAATAAAGAAAGTTTATCATCTCTTCTCCAGAAGCCAAATCTGAAATCCCATAAACAATGATGTCTAGAAGAGTGTACACGTGTAGATAAACTTGTTCCATCTTAGAATAATGTTAGGGTCTTAACTACTAATCCACTATCCTAACTTGTTATTACTACGCGTCTAATTTGTCATTACTTTATTAACAGGTGTTTTTTAAATTAATTGATAGAAAGATGACATATAGGGATGAGCCATTTTTTTAATACTTGTAATATATATATATATATATAGCTCGTTTTGCCCGTTTCCTTCGTATTATATTCAAAGGATGTTGACTTCGTATTCTAAACGAAGGATGTTGACCCAATTCTATTAAAAAATAGCTCATTTTCACGCCCACCCTACAAGCCCAATGCCGCACAATCTATTGATCGGGCAGAGACCTAAAGTGGGTTTCTGGAGTATTGAAGCTTGGAACTTATTCTGAAAGAAAATAAAAGAACGAAAAAGCATCCTAAACTACTATTGGCCCGTTTATTTCACGCGTTGAAGTCATTGATTTTGATTCTGAGTTTAAATTTTGTGAGGGCGGGAATTCTTTTTATTTAAAGTTTTGTGAGAGAGAAGTATTGTAGCAGAATCAAAATCGTGTGAACCAAACAAGGCTTATACCACTCGATTGGTGGTGGATATTAGATGCCAACTAAGTTGGTTTTGAAAGATTGAGCTAATAGTTCACACCTAACAATACGGTTTCATTACTCCCATGAGAACAGACCCTTTAAGCTGAATATATGATAAGCCACAAATACGTGTATCTTTTTTTTATTATTTATTATTTATTATTTTTAAACATTTCAGACAGAGAACTTGATAAACGGACCATATTAACACAATTAATGTGGTTTATTACTGATTGTGTTTAGCCAAAAGATGTAGAATGTAAACCTCATTTATGTGATAAAGATCGAATTCTTCCGTGAAGTACTTGAGCGACTCTTGCCCTTTCTCCAACATTTCCAGATCGATGGGACCAAGCATACCGATCACTCGTGCAAGGATCATGACGATTCCATCATTCGGAAACAGTACCTGTTTGTGGCAAACAAAAGTTACAAACGGGATTCAGAAATTCAAACCATAAAAAAAAAAATAAAAGCTCCATTTGATAATACGAACAAGGAAAAGCAAAGACATACTTCCCCAGAGCATAATTCAGCCAAGATACAGCCAAGAGACCAGATGTCAATCTTCTCATCATAAGGGAGGCCTAGGATGACCTCAGGAGCTCTGTAGGAACGAGATTGTACATATAGACACAGGTTGTCTGTACGGAAGCAACTACTTCCGAGATCAATCACCTTTATTTCACATCTCCTGTAACTTTTTATCAGTATGTTCTCAGGCTTTAGATCACAGTGAATTATTCCCAAGTCATGCAAGAATTCTAAAGCCTCTAAACATTGACGGGTTAGGACCTGTAAAAAAAAAAATGCATTATTAAGTTCATTGTGAGCTGTGGAAAAAAATGAAAAATATCATATCGGATGGACCAAGATAATGAAGCATGCAAATCTTTAGTATTGAAAATGTAAAAGTTTAAACAATTGGACACATTCATAGAGTCTAAAGTAAATGTAGGAAAATGGTTAAAAGTAAATAAAGTAAGCAAACAAACCTGCAATCTTCTCAATGTAAAATAAACCTCTCCACCAGATTCTTGATTGAATTTCTGAAATTCATACAAGTTTGCCCGGAGGAGTTCACAAACAATGAAGAGATGCTCCTATGAAGTTTTATCAAGAATTAAAAGGAAAGTGGTCATTGAAAATGGAAAGAATAAAAGAATTCTAGTTTTGGAGCCAATTGATCACTGAGACATACTTGATGATAGAAGTAATCATAGAGTCGCAAAATGTGGTGTTCATCAGCCGGATCATGCTTGTTGACAAGCTTTAGAAGTTTAATCTCATCTAAACTTTGATCAAAAAAATCTTTATCGTTTTTTATGATCTTCAAGCAAACATCAATCCCTGTGTGAAGATCATGTGCCTGTACAACTTTACTGAAAGCGGCAGAACCTAGATATTCTGTTACACAATATCTGCCAGCAATGACAGTATTTAGCACAATTGGCAGATCCTTGTTTTCTTCAAATCCAGTCCTGTAGACGGCACAACATATGAGTACAACTGCTAATTATTAGTCTGCAATTCCGAACCTATTATAAACTGCTATACTTATTATGCAACCAAAACTTAATCAAGCAAAGAATGATCAACAAAACCTGTTTTTTCTGTGTATGATTCTAAGATCAAATACTTCATACTCATCCTCACGAGTAGTATAAGCTAAAATCTCATCATTGGCAATGCCCTCAAAGTTTTCAGCAGCCTTGAGCTCATCAGTCTCTTTATTCGTGACACAATTTTCCACTTCGTATTTGCTAATTTTATTTACCATGAAATCTTTCTCTGGGACTTTTACACATAAACCAGTAGAACCATTTAACCATTCATCCCAGAAATGCACAGAACCCTTTTTAGCAGCGCAGTAAGTACTCTCGTCTATTCCCATATGTCGAGCGGATTCAGTGTCTGATTCAGTACTATCCCCGACAACCTTTACATCGACATCACCCAAAACAGATTGTTTCATGCTTAAGTTGCTGTCCTTTCCATGATTTTCACCATAAAACCCATTGGCTTCTGCAGAACAATCACAAAAGGGGATTGAACAATCATAGTGAACACAGCTGCCAGGATGATCTCCCTCAAGTCCTGCTTCATAATCCGTCCGAGGAACATCGCTTTCATTGTGTACGGGACCGATACTAAAATGACATGTCTTGTCCAAGTAATCGATACTTATTTCTGATACAATATCTTTAGAATTGTAATTCAAACCCAATCCCGGGTTCTCCCACTGCTTATCTAAATCCGAAGTCATGATGAACTTGTCCTCACTGGGACAACCAAAGTAGTCAGGCCCTTCAAAAGAGGGAGTCATGAAGTCCCCATCATCTTTCTCATTGTACCAAAACAAATCATTTTGCATATCGAAATCATGGTAATCCCTTGCGGTCCCGAATTGAGACAATTCTTCCGAAGAAGATCTCGAATTCCCCGGACTTGTCGATCGAATTCCGTAAGGATTCGTGAACTCTGAAAACGTAAAAAAAAGGAAAAACTCGATCTAATCTGCTTCCGACTAATCAAAAAAATAATAACAAAACAAAGCTTATTGCAAGCAAAAGGGTTTTGAATCTTGTGCTCAGTGAGTAATTGCTCAACGGTGTAATTTCTTAAAACAAAAATCAGTGATAACTAAATTCAATAGAGAGATCTATTGAAAACTTTCAATTGGTCAAACTGAAATTAGTACATCTTTATTAACATGCAAGAGTACTAAACCAATTTCTATCCGTTTCCTTTTCCCACAACAACCAATCAGAATTCAGAATTCAGAAGTTCTAATTTTGATGAACTTAAACAAAACCACTCATAACAAATAATCAGAAGTTTTAATTTCCAATGAACTATAAATATAAAGTCAGCAAATTATTTTTTTCTTGAAAAGTCAACAATTTGAATTACCTGAAGAGCAAATATCCGAAGTGGAAGAATCCACGCTGACGAATTCATCGTCGGAGGACGCGGAGGGGATCGATCCGGGGAAATTATCGCCCGCGGGAGTCTCCGATCGCCGGGAAGTCGCCGGAATTCTGACCGGCGGCGGCGGGGGAACCATCGGGAAGAGGAATTTCTCGTAATCGGAGCAGCGGAGGTCGCCCTTCTCAACGATGTCGGCCTTGAGGGCCGACTCGGCCTCCCAGAAGCCGTTCTTCTGGAGGAATTCGAGCACCGCCTTGACGTCGGAGACCGCCATGGAAGTCGGAATTCGGAGAAGCGAGAGAGTCAGAGGAGACGGCTAGACGAAAGCTGAGGGAAGTGGGAGGGGCAGAAGTGGAAAATATGCCATTGTTCGGGGTTTGCATGCTTGTAGGGGAGAGAGTTTTAAGTCTCTCTCTCTCTCTGTTTCTATGTCTGATCTGCTGTAAAACAGAAGCTAAGGAGAGAAGGTGGTCGTGTCTTACCAACTTTGAAAAGTGAGAGCTCTCTCTCTCTCTCTCTGTGGGTTTTTTCGGGGTTTTGGCTCTTGTGGGTCCCATTCTGAGATAAGCTATTCATACGTGGACAGTTTTTAATATGACACGTGTTTTTGGGACCCACTATTATTATTTTTATTTTTCGGTTAAATTTGCTCTTTCGTTGTTTTTGGTAGAGAAAAATAAGAATCAAGCGGCTGTTTGTTTGTGGGACCAATTCTTTTTCGTTTTTTTCTTTCCCACTTTATACGTTCCAGAATTCTTTTTTCTTTTTTTTTTTTTTTTCCTTCTCGGACTTTTCTGATTCTCTTTCTTTTTTCCACCCCTTTCGGTTTCAACGAGTTTTAGAGGGAAACGTAAGTGCATGCAAAAATATCGTAATTCTTACAATATTATAACGTTATCTTCTATTTAGTTAGTAATATATTTGATGATGAGCTTTATAATTGATGCATCACTTGACAATATCATTTTGTTTCATATTTTTTCTTAGTATTTTATTTGTCCTAGTTGAGAAAGAATGATACATTTGTCACCAATGACCAATCTATCACTATATGCATATATATATATATATATATATATATATATATATATATACAGACACACACACACAAAAAAAGGGAAAAAGAACACTCTATTCAGAATTGAGTACTATTAATTGTAAACATTATCAAACCTTTAATTACATCTTAACTTGCATAATATTCGCCCACACTCTTCATTTGGTTGGTTTGTAAAAACCAATCTATAGCTAGTTAGGTTTATTCCTTCAAAGTCAAACAACAAGAAACAAAGTCAGGTGAAAAAGAATTTTTGAGGTTCTTTCAGTAAATTATGAAAGATTAATAACGTTGAAATCTTAAGGTGGGGTCGTTTGTTTAACTCTATTATTGTTGTTATTACTATTAGAAATTTTATTATTATACATGGTTTTCGATTTGGTCAAATAACGGGTGAGCTCTACTTTTCATGGGGTCATGAAATGAGTAATACGACCCACCGCACATAATAATGGTGTTCCTCCCAAACCAATATTGCGATTAACATGACCTTACACAGCTTTTCCACGTTCCAACTTTCTTCTTTAATCTTTATCACGCGACCCTAAGTTATAGCATGATTATGTGCTCTTTTTTTTTTCCCCCTTTTTCATTATTATTTGTATTGTCACTATTCTTTTGCTCTTTTTCTTTCTCTTTCTTCTTTTTTTTTTTGGCGTGTATTATTATTATTATTATTATTATTATTATTTACTTTTATTTGTTTGTTGGATTTTGAAAATTGAAATTTATCTAAGCTTGGCTCATGACCGTTGGTGAGCTTCTTTGTTTTGACTTGTTATGTGACACTATCGGCCAAATTGTTAAAGATGGGAGTAGATAGAAAGTTTGAGAAGGATGCGCATTCAGTTCCAATTCCATTTATGTGAATTTGGATGTACATGGTTCAAGATAAAAGTAACAATATTATCTGATGACTGATGATATAGTTTGTTAATCACAATCCAATAATTTCATTTTTATAATATTGTTGTGATCTCACAATTACATGAGATTAAATAAAATTAAAATTTATGTATTAGTATTTTTTTTTAGGAAGTATAAATTAAACCAAAATTTTAAACAAAACTAACAATACTATAGGTTTTTAACTTTGTCTTTCTCTCTAATATCTTTTTTTTTTGGTCAATTTGTATCCCTTCTTCTCTCATTCCAAATAAACCAAACTTATGTAATCAAGTTCAATTTACTTTTTGAAATTAAGTTTAGAAAATTTTGAACTTCACTTGTGGTTTATTTAAGGTTTTGAGTTTAGTATTCAAAACTTAGAATATAACTAAAATTTTCTAATAAAATTATTTTTATTAGAAACTAAGTGCAAAATTGTTTAGAAAAAACATTATTCAGGTAAAAATTGAATGAAGTTCATTGGACTGGCTCCCCAAATCTAATGTGTATCTGTCCTTATGATAATATATAGAGATCTGACAATCTAAAATTTGATAACATATTTATTATTTTATTTTTTAAAATTGAGGATTAAAGATTTAATGCTATATAAATATTGGAGGTAATAAGTGTAAAATTATTGTTAGCATAAATTTGCAACCAATATTTCTTATATATTAAAAACGTTTATGTAAAGCAAGGAAATACTTGTAAAGGAGGACAGAGAATGAAAATTTGCTGATAAGCTTTGCTAACGAAATTGTGCGACAGCTTTCCAATTTTTGATGTCTTCAAATGAATACGTCAAAACCTTTTTTCTTCTTGAATTCGGAATGCGTCAAAGCCTTGTTGGAAGAGCATACATATATATATATATATATATACACATACTGATATGAAGTTTTTTTAAGCCAATCTAAAAGCAGCTTTTTTTGAATCATTCTAAACGAGTCCGAAACTAAACTCACAGCAATGAGCCAATTATATACATACATACATATACTTATATAGTTGCCCACTTGTGCAGCTTAATTTGATAAAGTCACATGCTTGAAATATTACCCAACTTTCTTTTCTTTGAAGATGCATTCTATGAGTTTGTTTGTTTCAAAGTGGCCTGCATTTTGTTCCATCTAAAAAAATGCGGTCTAAGTTTTTCTCTGGAAAGATCAAAACGTATCTTGCACAATTTAATACTATTCGCCAACTATAAAACAAAACTTTTTTTTTTTGTTTATACTCTAGGTTTGATTTGTTGCATCATGAATTATGTAATTATGATACTAAGAGGTTCTAAATAAACAACAATATTATATTCTTCAAACCATGGAGAAAAAAAGAGAGAGGTCAGAGGAGTTCAATGTGTTGAAGTGGGGATGTTTATGATTTGTTTGAACGAAAAAAATTATCAACCAAACCAAATCTAATCATGTTTCATCTTTGATCGGTTTGATTGGTTTAAAACTTTAAAAAGGGACCAAGTTTAACAAAATTATGTAGAATTGAGTAGTCGAAACTTTTTTACGTATGCAGAAATTATGAATCAATTGTACAAATATGTCAATTAAACTTTTTGAAGTTTTATTGAAATTTTATTTAGATCCTGAAAGAAAATAATAATGTCTTAGTAAGAATATCATATATATGAAAATTAAAACAATAATAACAAGAAGAAAAAATAACAAAAAAAAAAAAAAACACTTTTGGTCGGTTTAATTAATATTATGGCATGGAGTTTCTACCGATCAAATCAAACTAATTTTTTTTATTAATTAAAATATGATTTGGTTTTTTCGTGTGTGAAAAATGGGCTTCTTTTTATTAAGAAATATGGATATAAAACCTTATATAAGAATTCAAAATGCGGAATACAAATAATCCAAACAGATTATTTATCGTTTGGAGAGAGCAGCCAACTCGGTCAGTTTCCACAATTTATCGCCCAGTGAACCATATTTCTTATACAATATTCTATGTTCCATTTATGACCGCAATATATGAGACCAGACTCCAAATGCTTATGTCTTGAAGAATTTTTCTCATTCGACAATGAAATATACAATTTATAAAAAGAAAAAGAAAACGTTTATATATATATATATATATATAGATTTCTATATGCCATTCCAAAATGAAAATGACTCACGGACAAATTTGATCTAGAACGAATATTAGTTAATGATAGCTACATAATATCCAAGTAAAAGCAACGTGTAAATTCATAGCATGATTATTATTGCAAGTCAAAGATGCTTTCAGAGGAGAAGAATTATGCCATCTTCTTTTCCTTTCCAATTTTTTTTTTTTTTTTCATTTTCCTTTCCTTTATTTTATTTTATTTTTTGTTATTTTAGTGTGAAGCAGAGGGCATAAAGTAAATGTAATTTTTTCCTTAAAAAAAAGAGAAAATAAATGTAATTTTTACGACTTTCCTTAGGCATCATGATGAGCCAGCATTATTATAGTGCCAGCTTTTGTAAACTCATCAAATCTTATTCCCTCTTCAAGTAGTTTTGGATCTCGCAAATACAATTGCCATGTAGTTCTTCAATTTCCCTTTTCCTTAAGGAATGGGTCTAAAACGATTTGTAATTAACAGATTAGATTAAGAACAAGATTTTTGACCTTAATGGATTAATATCAGATAATTACTAAAGCAACAAAAGAAGGGTAATTATTCAATAAGCTATTATTGTCCTTGGCGCGTTAATTGTAGCATTGGATATGTGAAGGAAATTTGCTGATTGGAATTGCACGCATGTAAGGAAGAACTTTTATTGAGTGGATTTAACTTGGTTGGCTAAAAGAATCATTATTCTGTTTGGTTCGTATTTTTGAACAAAAGTTTTAAATTTTCATGGGAGAAAATATTATAAAAAAAAAAAGTTTAAATTGTGATTGGAGTTTATGAATCAAATAACACTTATACATGCAATAACGGGAGAGGGGGACTTGGCAGGGAGAATGGGATCTAGTTAGTGCTTGGGAAAGACAAAAATTACTCGTAATTAGGTGGTTCTTGTACAGAGCCCTCAAGAGAGCAGTTGTTTGTTTGCCAAGAATCAACCTCTTCTCCTAAGACTTATCAAAGTCAAATCTTAGGTCATGTGATTGCTTACTTCGTCGATCATATATCTAACTCAACCTATTCATCTTTCATCGGTCCAGTCGACAATCCAGTTTAACGTCAATGACAGGAATCCTCAATTCACATCCTCTACTTGGTATTTGTTCTGGTCATGCCATATAAATTTCTAAGAAGTAGCCCGAAATTTACATCGGTATTAGCGTCCCATAAAATAAGGTTCAATTCTCCTCTCAAATAAAATAGGTCAAATCAAATTCGAAACCTAGGCACATACATCATCTTTTCCTCTCTCTTAAGTATGAGTTGAGCGTCATGGGGGAACTATATGCTTCTCCACCTGAGGCTGAAGATTGTTGTCTTATTTCAATGCTTTGAAACCTGGGCAGTAGACGGGGGTAGAAGGTTGATCAGAATCGTTGATAACCTGTGTAAAGACA